TGGATACAATTTCATCTACAATAAAAATACTAAATACCCTCTGTCTTTATTTGTTAGAGTGAATTAGATAATTAGAGAATTTTTAGAGTGTCATCTCCTTTCTTATTGGATCCCATTCGGAAATAATGGACAACCTTAAAAAAAAACTATTCATCTTATACATCAACTGAAAAGAAATGAATAATGATGTTGTTTTTTCTTCCACGATCCGCTGCTTATATGTTTAAATGTCTTTGTGATATCAGCAGGAAGTTGGAGTGTACATTAGGACCCATCATTGAAACTTGTCAATGTTTAAGTTTATGAGCACCTCTGTATTTAATATATTTCTTCTACCTGTTTGTTTAATATGTTTTTAATATAAATATTTAATTTATAGATTTTTTTTAGTATAACAATTTATTATTATTTACTTCATGTCTAGATGTTGTTATATTTATTTATACCATATTTCATTCATAATATTATGTTATGCTTTATTCTAAATAAAAAAATAAAACTAAACAAAGAAACTTTACTGTTACTTAAAATTTAATAAAAAAAAAAAAACAGTTTTTATTTATGAAGTTAAAACAAATTCTGGTTCGTTAGGGTAATTGTTTTTTAAATCGCTAGAATGTCCGGCTAAAAACAGTTGTAGGTTCTAATAGTAGTTAAGGATATATCATGAGTGTGCGTAGAGTTGAAATAAATTAAAAAAATTAGAATTAGACAGGACAGAAGGATATGTAGGAACACTGGGAGGTATACTGGGGGTTTGAAAGGAATTTATGGATAAACAATAGTGAGGATATCATGTTCTCTGTTTGGTCTGATTATTCGTGTGTATGTTTATAAACATTTTTAATGGCGGGAATATTCCTTTTTTTGTTGTTGTCTGTGGATTTTTCTCAGTTGCCAAGAACCCCGTCCCAAAATGGCGAACAGGCAGACACAACATCATTTAGCCTTTGTGAAGCGTTTCTAGATTTAGTATCTTTATTTTCTTATAATACATTTTTCAACTGATATCGAGGCATAAGAACTTTCTGTTTGAGTTCTATTCCATTCAGGATGTGTGAAGCCGTCTAGTACTTTAATAAAGAGTACAGCTATCGATACTCAACGGTTAGTTAGTGTTTTCTTTCGGTGGGTGTAACAGTTTGCGTCATGTACAACTTATGATTGAGATCAATAAACTTTTTCTTTGATATGTTAACGTGTCTTTTAGGAGTTGATAAATTGCATTGTTGGTAATGGTAACATTGTTATGAAACTTTTAACATAGATAATAAATAAAGATTCTATCACAACCGTTAAACAATAGAAATTATTGAAGACCATAAAGAGTAGCCGTTTGCTGCTTGCAAACTGATATAAATATATATATTTATATAAATATTGTACTATTTTTAGCTTAAATGATTAAGCACATTTTTTTGTTTAATTACACTATTAAGTCTATTTTTGTAAGTGTATAATTCTCATGTACTTTTAGTTTTATTTGCTGTGATAACGAAAAGTTTAATTGCCTGCAATTTCATTACAAATTACAATAAAAATAAAAATCTGAACTGCCATTTATGTCTTATCAGTTCGTTGGTTTCGTTGTTTTTGACTTTAGATAAAATCGTGTTACCCCTTTTCACAATATTTTTACAATTATAGATAAATTTCTTTAGCACCGATAAGCCTCAACGTCATTTCGTTCATTAAGATAAAAACATTATGAGCAAAAATTATTGAATGGAATATTTCTTACTTAAATTAGCTGAAGTAATAAATTCTTAGACTGCAGACTGTCACGGACTCAAATAAAATAATTAGAGATAATTTTTAATGCTATAAGCAAAACATTAGAAAAATTCGAGAAAATAATCCATTTTATTAGTTTGTCTTAAATTTGTTTTATTAAATGTTTATTTATAATTTACGTTTAATGCCTAAAAACTTTAACACAAAGTTTTTTAGATGCAAATAAATTAAATTTTACATACAATAAAATTCTTATGGTAACAATAACGGCTTTGACTTGTACACAGTACAATAAACTTATCTGTTTCGAACACAATGAGTATGAAACTTTCCAGTGACTATCAAATATTTCTATTGCTTTAAATTCGTTTTTGTTAAAATCTCGGGCATCTCTTCGACATTTGTCAGCTCGTATTTCATAAAGTATTGCAAGATGGGCGAGAGTAGCTTGGGATTGAATTTCTCATCCTTTTCTGGTGGTATTATGTAGCTCAATGGTATGCCTACCACAAAAAGTATTATAGCACCAACCACTACGTACCAATTGAACGAAAGATCGAATATGTTAAAGCCTTCTGAAGCATTTGTGCCATGTTGAGTGGAGTGAAGTAAAGTGGAGGTGGTTGAAGCACTAAAAACAATTCCAAATATGAAATAATTTAATAAAGTATTTTTCTTTATTAACTAACACAAGATATATAAGATTAAGATGTATATAACATATTTTATTGTTTCAATTATGAACATTTTTTACTTATTATTATTATTTTTGAAACGGGCTAATTGGTCAATTATTCAAATAATACACTTTTTAAATTTTTCCCATTTTTATAATTATGAAAATAAAAAATGATTTTTAGAAATAATTGAAATGTGTATTAATTGAAGGATTGAACAATTAGCCCATTAAAAAAATAAAAATAATAAGTATAAACAATATATAACATTGAACATCAGTATATTTTTATATCGCATATAAAAAATATATATAAATAAATAAATATTAAAGTCGATTTTAACGTTAATATGACAGTAGTGAACTACAAGAACAAAAATTATTTTTATGTTATATATATATAATTCTATATATTATATACATTAGCGAGGCGTCAGCTTTTTGGCAAGGTGTTCACAATTTGATCAAAACAGAATTCCAACTATAACGTATTCCCCCTACTCTTGAGTTTTGTCCTTTCCACAAGCAAATAGCGTACAAGACCAACAAAACAATTTATTTAAATGTTCGCAGCCTGTGATCCACTGGTTTTTTTGGTAAATAGCTGTAGGAAAACGGCGACTTACCACAGATTTCGACATTTTTACATCGGGTACCAAATTCTTCATATCTGGAGTTGGTCTATTCATTTTATGAATTAAAACCTTTTTTTCAGAAGATCGTTTAAAAAAAGATATTTGAATCAAATCTTTAATTACCCATTTATCCATTTCTAAATATAATTTTTCACTTCAAATTTCTTTAATTTTTTTTTTTACTTTTACCATTTGTTAATATAAAATTGCAATAATGACTTTGTTTTTGATTTATTTCCAACCTCTACATAAGAGTAAGAAACTCTCATGCATTCATTTACTCTTTTACTTTGTATTTACTATGCGCGGTTCAGTTTTTTTACTGAACCTTTTGCCCATATAAAACGGCAACCGTCACTCTGATTGTATTTGCACGGTTTGTATGAACTTGAGGTTCAGTTAAGTCGACTGAACCTCTAGTCAAATGTAAAGCGATTTTCGCTCAGTCATTTCTTTTCTGTTTTGTATTTACTTTGCATAACATTGGAGGTTCATTTTTTTTATCGAACCGCTTGCACGCATTAATTTAAGAGTTATGATTATTTTACGTACATATTTTGCGGGGCTCTTCTCTTTTATTTTTATACTTGTTTGTACGTTTTGTGTTCATTCAATATTGAACATAGTCCCAATGTGAATGTTTCATTTGCATGCTTTGTAAGCAGCGCAGTGCAGTTTTTATTCTGAACCTGAACTATTTTAAGAGGAATGTGTTTTCTCTGAATTCTGAACTATTTTAAGAGGAGTGTGTTTTCTCTTTTATTAATTATATGTAATGTTGGGTGTAACTAACATATGTATGTGTGA